CCCCAAAACCCCAAAACCCCAAAACCCCAAAACCCCATGACCCAGAATTTGATAGTTAAGGTAATTAAGATATTTCAGAAATATTTTGAGGATGATAGCGAAATACATTATTAATTTATTATTATTCTAACTATGCAATCCTCTCATCAGGTTCCAGTTTTGCCTAGGTCTAAAATAAATAACTAGTATATTCTTAAGGATAGAATCGGCGCTGGTTCATTTGGCCAGATCTATAGAGGTAAAAATTCAAAATTTTAATAAAACTTAAATGAGTAGGTTACGATTAAGAAAATAAAAGAGATGTTGCTATTAAGTTGGTAAGTTAGAAACCATTAATTGAAATCCATAAACTTCCTTTAAAATTATGAAATCTTTAAACTATTGCATAATCAGGAGTCAGTTTATGCATGATGTCCTCAGGTTCTTAACGAGGCAAAAGTCCTTAAGCATATTAATACCAAGGGGGGTAAGTTGAATATAAGTTTCTTTAATTTTTTACCTATGGTAAAACATTACTTTGCTATTGGAAGCAACTTAATATTCCCAGTATCGAAGAAAGGTTTGTGGTTTCAGGAACGACTTCACACTTAATAATTTTTTTCATTTTTCATATTTTTTATACAATCCTATAATAAATTGTTTAGTCACTGGATTTCCAAAGCTTTACTGGTTCGGCAGAGAAGGAGATTTTAACTTAATGGTTATTGAACTTCTTGGCAGGAACTTAGATGAGACTCTGAAATTTTGCGGCAGGAGATTTAGTCTTGAAACAGTTCTATAAATCGCTGATCAACTAGTAAGGAGATTATTAATATATAAAAACCTGAAATATTTTTAACAATTTAACCAATAGATTAGAAGAATTGAAACTCTACATTATAAAGACTTTATTCACTGAGATATAAAGCCAGAAAATTTCTGTCTTGGTTATGGTACTTCAAAGGCTAACTAGGTCTATATGATTGACCTCGGATTGTCTAAAAGGTACAGAGATTCCAAAAGAAGGACACATATCCCTCAAGCGAACCACAGAGGACTTACTGGAACAGCTAGATATGCTTCAATTAATGCTCATCTTGGTGTTTGTATATTTATCTATAGTAATCGTGAATAATTTAGCTTAAAGCAGAAGGGATGATATGGAGAGCATTGGGTATGTACTGGTCTACTTGATTAAAGGGGAGTTACCTTGGTAAGGTGTAAAGGCATAAACTAAGCACGAGAAATATTAGATGATTATGGAGAGGAAGATGTCTTTAACTAGTGAATTATTGTGCTAAGGCCTACCAGATGAGTTTTAAAGTTATCTATAGTAGGTTATGGATCTAGGCTTTGAGGAAAAACCTAACTATGAGTTTTACAGGTAATAATTTAGACAGCTAGCAAGAAGAGGCGGATTTGATTTAAAAGCCCCATAGTTCGATTGGATATTAATAAAGGAAATGAGGAAAAGACAAAGAGAAGAGAAAAAGAAAAATAATCATCAAGTTGAGAATTATGAAGAAGAAGTGAAAATTAAATCGTAAAGACCAAAAGATGAATAATGCCTGAAGAGTCATAATAAATCAGAGAGACCTAAAATGTAAACAACTCATAGGATTGATTTCAGGGACTATTTAGACACTCCTGTTGATTAAGTAATATAAATCTTTGAAGATTGTGTAACCTTCTAAATTGAAAGAGACTTAGAAAGATTTGATAACAGAAAATTACAATTTCTAGAAAGACTTTCACGAATGGATGTAAGCAGATAACCTATTGATAATAATGATGCTGCAATGTCAGTTGAAAGTGAAGTATCAATGAAAGAATCAGTAAAGTATTTAGATACTGACAATGGTTTTACCTAAGGATACTGCTTAGATATTAAAACTTAGCTTTAGTATCATAACTCGCTTTTGTGTTAAGAACCGAAATTCATAGATCCATTAAATAACTAGCATGTGTAATGGAAATTTGTTAACAAATAGTGGCATGGCAATGTTGATCTTGTCTATTAAAAAATATCAAGCAGCGATGAGATTCTTATTACAAATAGTAGTGATAGTAGTGGCACAAGTAGCGAAGATATCAGTAGTAGTAATTCTGATGAGAGTGGTAACAGTGATTCTAATGATAATGATGATGAAAGTAGAAAAGTTGAGAAAGGAAGCGCATGAGCACTATTGAATCTTATTTAATTTACCGAAGACTAAATGGAAAATCGATTCCATTGTTTCTTAGCTTTTGACTTTATTGAATCTTATTGACTAATAATTATAAATTTTATGACCTAATTGCCAAATCATTGAACTTAATAATCTTAAATTTTTCTTAATAAATATTAAAATAACAAATCTAATTAAACTTTTGAAAATCTTGCATTTGGGGTTTTGGGGTTTTGGGGTTTTGGGG